CTGGTCACTGTATATATATATGTTCCAATTTTGCGCTCTGCGTGACAACCCCTTACCATCTATAGTTAATAAATGAGGTTAAGAAAAACCACTGTACTAAGCTCTGCAGGCAAAAACGTATAATTTTTCTTCTCACATTTTGTTCAATGTATCTTGTATTCCTGATGTCCAGTTTACTATTTTTTATTTTTGTTTATTTCGTTTGAAATTAGAATGTTTATTATATTTCAAAATTAAACTATCAATATGTATTATACATTATATGTGGTGTATTATATAAACGTGCTTCGTCACAAAATTTTTTCCTTTCTGTAAAGTGCACTATGAACGCCAAAAAAATTTTACAACAAATTTTTTTAAATATAGTCAACGTGCTCAAAGTATTTACAGATTTTATAAAAGGATTTTAATTTTACAAAAATTGAATTCATTAAACCATAAGTAGATAGTTTATATTGTACATGAGTATAAAGTCGTTTCATTCGCGTTTTGAATAGCGTAAAGAAGTAAGAATCATATGTTTATTTAACAGTGGTATACTTACTTACCGAAGAGTTACATTAATTGTAAGAGGCTGCGGGGCTGTGAAAGTTATTTAGGGGGCTGTGGAGGTAGTGGGTGGGGAAATTTACAGAGCTGTTAAAGGGTTCTTTTCCATTCCATCTAAGATATAGGGGGGCGTTGAGAGCTGTGCAAAGTAAACCACGTAGCGTTGTGAGGGGCATAGGAGGGAGCCAGCCTAATTAAAAATCATGCAACAATTAACGAGTAACTGTATAATCTGAAAAGATGCTGAGAGAAAAATGAAAAAAAAGTGGTGAAAATTAAGGGGATAAAGGAAGTCTGTCACGTATTTTTATTTATATAACTGTATAGTATAGGATTTCATACCAATCTTAATAAACATACATCGTCGTAAGACAATTTGTTTGCCCCCGCAGTCTTTGCTGGCCTACAGCAGCCTCCCAAAATTTACTAAATTTTTACGTATTTTGGACAATTGTTATATATTTTCATCCCCACTGCCTCTACTTTGCCCCTACATAACCCTATTTCTTAATCTCGTAACCTTCTTAATGTCTTTATGACTTCATGCTTGAAACTCCTAATTACTGAAATCCATTTTTTCATAAACTCTAAGTGTCGTAACTTTAAGAGATTTCAGGTTTGAATTCGATTTCAGATTTAAAAATAAATTCAAGCACTTAAAAACCGTAGTATGTTCGTGTCATACGAAGCTTTAATCCCGTATTTTTTAATAACTCCACAAGTTTGTAATCCCTTTCTTTCTCAAGTCCGTAACTCCTTAAACTTTTAAACTGAAATTTTTAATACCTCTGAAACCTTCAAATACAGTAAAAAAAAAACTTTTGTACGTTAAAGTACTATAATACAAATAATATAATGTAGAAAATGATTTTGATAGCATTAACATTTTTTTTATTTAACTATTTTTATGGCTATCATTACCATGACTAAATATTATGTTAGTTAGAAAAAGGCAGGGTGAGTGTAAAAAAATATTACGGTTTTTTGCATCGTAGGAGATAAGAGCCAAGAAAAACAAAAATTGACTTAATGTAAATTATGTATGACTTTTTGTTTAAGTCTTTTTAAATCCATTTCACAGTTTTTTAAGTCATATTCTGTTGAAGTTGTCATGAAAACTAAATTTAGGGTTTCTTGACTTACGGTTAATCTGTAGCTATCACAATTTATTTCTTAAATACTTTATATATGAATAAAGAACAAGTCACAAGCCCAGTTCAATGTGCCTTTTATATTTTTGCTGGGCGTTATAATTGTTTTTGTGTCGTAAAGATAAGAAAACGTCTGTATAAAAAAAAAAAAATTTTGGAACCTTCAGATAGCGGTCTGTGTATCTGCAGTGGTTAACTTATGGCTAAGTATAAGCCTTTGTAAAATTGTCTCGGTTTTTTCGAACTAATTTTGCAGTTCGTGCCTGCCAACTTTCGTTCGTTTTGTTTGTTGGTGGTTCTCACTGAAAAAAAGATACCTAGATGATCTATGTGCATTACGTGTTACGTATTAATTCACATGGTTAGAATTCTGTTAGACTGAAAATGTAAAAAAAAAAATGTTTTCAACAAATATTTTGATATTGAAAGGTGAAATTAGTACGTGGTTCCTCGAAAACCATGCAGAAACTGTTAATGTTTTTTAGACACCATAATTATTGAACTTGAAATGCTCGATATTAACGACGTCAAAAAGGTAAACTTAAGGTTTTTTTATACAACTTAGTTCTCTAGTGAGTGCCATACTCCAATTCCAAAAATCTATTTTTTTGACTTTCCAGATTGAATAACTCATAAGTTATACCGTTCTGGCTATTTCGTATAACATTATTGAAGTAAATTTATAAAATACTTCTACTTCCCATACTCAGATTATGTATGTGATAATCTTGCGGGATTTAAACCCTTACCATATTTTGTTGTAGGCAAATGATCAACCTGATGTATTTGAAACAGAAGATCCTCCAGAAAACAATGATACTCAGATTTATCTGCAAGTAAGTGTACTTTAATAGTATAATACTCTTTTTACACTGTCATGTAGAAATGTAGAATTTATAAGGATAACGACATTGAAAATAACTACATTAAATATTTAAATGACGATAGTTACAACATCTAGTTTTGGTATAATTTTTATTTATAGTATTAATGTTGTTTATCGTTAATTATGATATAATTTAAATTATACTCAATTAATGCATTTATAATACATAATACTTTTTAAACCGTTATGTAAAAATTTTTTGCAAAATCTTAAGTGAATACCAACATCCGACATGATGTCCTACGTTTAATCCGAATCCGCCGTCAGAATTATTCTATCACGTTTTAGGACTTAGAGTTATTCTCACCTCAATACTTAAAAATATCCATTTTACGTATTTTTGAGGCTATGCCATATCTTAAATATTTTGTAAGCCTATTTTACAGTGCTTTAATCTATTATAGCTTTGCCTCTACAGTATTTATTTTTAATATCCTGTATAAGGTTTTCTATCTCTAAGTTATGGATGTTTAATGCTAGTATCTTTTTAGGTACTGACCTGTAAAAGTAGCATTTTATCTGAATTTATCTGAGAATGCCTGTACCTCAAGCAATTCAGTACAGTAAGACCGGATCTGACCTTACAACTTGTATGTCATATCAAGATGACTTGTATTAACCTGAACGTGCAAAAATAGTATTACTTATATTCAAAGACATCAATTTTATAGAGTTAGGTTACCTGCGAAAAATTCTTTAAGTTTCGATAAACTTTTGTGGAAGTTTTTGTTTGGCCAAACGTAAACATACATGAGCAATGAGACAACCCCAAACTCAGATTTTTGCTGAAATATTCGACTCAAGGTTAGCTAATGTTTATCCAAACTTTGTGACACAAGTAGCCAAAGTTTTCTTTTAATAGTGGAATAATATAAAATCATCAGAAATTTATCTTTAAAAATATCTTAACATTCATTTATCAGACAATTTACTAGTGATGTGCATATACGACTTATGATAAGAGCTATACAAAATATCGTCTCAAACCTCAACCTCTGACTCAGAGGCTCTGAGATTCCGCATGCGACAAGAGCACACTTTACCACCCGGCTACGACAAAATGGTATATACTGTGATACGAATCGTCTACATATCGTACTGATACTCTGACTTTTTTTTTAAATTCACTGTCATAAAATTGACTGTATAAATTTTCAAAAAATAATTTTATGTAAATGTATTTTGTTAAAATCAATTACATGTGGTACAATAAAAACCATACACAATATTGGCAGATTTAACATGGTAAAAACATTTATTGTAGATTTCATGCTTGACAATACACTAAGAAAATATTGATTCACATATAATTAATTGTAACTGAATACATTTACATAAAATTTATTTTAGAAAAATTATAAAGTATATTTCGCAACAGTGAATTGCAAAAAAAGAAAAAAACATTTTACTGCTGCATGTAGATGATTCGTATCACGATAAGTACCATTTCGTCAAAGCCAAGTGGTTAAGGTGAAGGTGGCTTAGTCGGTTGGTACCGTACGTAAGGTAGGGTGCTATAAGGGCCTCGAAAAAATCAACGCTTTTTGGTGGTAAATTTCTCAATAAATATACTTATTTTGATAAAACCAAAGTACAAGATTAAGAAATTGTCAGAAAAGTACTGTGAAATTATAATTGTAAAATTTGGGAGATTTTGCTAGGCAAGCTGAATTAATATCTCATACTTTTCTTCTTATTTTTTCACAAGTTAGGTCGTTCACCCTATATTTTTAAAAATTTAATAGAATAAAAATACACAAGCACTATTATAAATTTTTGAGGTTAATTAAAGATTTCAAAATATAGTCGATTTTGTGACCACTGTCCATAAGTGTATCTGTTAAATTGGTGAATTTCCAGTAGTGATTTGCGAAAAAACTAAGTCGTTAACCCCAGTATTTCTTATCGTAAATGAATTTGGCATACTTTATTTACATAATTCCAGAATTTTAGAGGTTTTGATCAAGCTGATAAAAGTCGCCCAAGCCATCTTAAGCGTGCTTGTGTCGCATGCGAAATTCTAGTGACTGAGGTTCAAGACCTTCTCCTGTATAGCTTTTTTCATGAGCCGTATTTACATATCACTTGTATATTGTCTAGATAATTAATGTAAAAATATTCATAAGTATAAATTTTGAAACATTTTTCATCATCGTACTGGTTCTGAAAAACTTTAATCATTTATGTTGCAAATTTTTAGTAAACATTAGCTATACGTAACTCAAATATTCTAACAAAAATCCAAGTTTGGAATTTTCTCATTTCCCATGTTTAGCTAATGTTTGGTTAAACATAAGCATCCGCAAAAGTTTAGTGAAACGTTAACATTTTTCCACGGGTACAGTTATTTCCTCGAAGTTAGTACTATTTAAAATTGATATCTCCTAAATATGCGGACCTAGAAAATAGCTTTTTAATAATGATTTTGTCATAGTGCTTGTGTTTAAATTAATTAAAAGTGATGTAACTAAATCTTACTTGAAAGTTTATGTATTACAATAGAGTCGTAAGCTATTCTAATCTCGATGTAAAAAAATTTTTTTTTTTTGGTTTTTAAACTTATTCTGTACTATAACAATATTTACTTCTGTTTATTCGATTGTATCAATATTGTGTTTAGTTTTATCCCTATGGTAAATTTTAAGGTTTTAAAATTTGTCAAATGGTTTTAGCTGAAATCTCAAATAATATATTTTTAATGATACATAAGTTTGAAACGAGGGTTCAAGAAAAGGTTACGGTAAGCCATGGGTTGGTAGAAGTGAATGGCAGTGTAAGCTATGTGACTTCTTAAGCTGATATTCTTCAGAATTTTTTTTAAGTATCACGCATTTTAAGTTGAGTATTACGCCACCTTAAATAGAATCAAGAGAGCTATAGAGTTTCAACGTTGTTTTGTTTACCTTTACTGAGGCAGTCAAAGTACTATGGTTATGTACTCATAATGTGCTGTAAATACCATATGTTGATGAATGCTACATATGTCAAATTGTTTTGTTTTGAAAGGTCTTAGTGAGATACCGGGTTTGCGTTAAATTAGGGTAAATCAGTGTGTATGAGTATTTTTCTCATAATAGCTAGTGTTACAATTTATTCACTGTACAAAAAGTTCTATGGTGCGTTTTAAAAATGCTATACAAGGAGTATTTTGAACAAAAAAAATTGAAAAAGATGCAATTGAACTGTGGAGATCGCTAAGAGTTGACAAGAATTCGTATCCTGCAAATGTTGGAAAGAAGATCAAAGAATCGTTACAAAATAATACAGAAAAATAATGCTTTTTAAAACTTTCTTATAAAACATACAGATTAGAAAAAAAAAAAAAAACCTCAAAAAAATTAAAATCGATAAACCAGATTTAACAAAAGATTTTCATCTAATCAAAAAAAAATCAATAATAACTTTCGTCTGTAATGTGCATCTCTGAGGACTGATTATAAGTATTGTGATCGCTTGGGCTAGATAAGCTACTGTGTTGAACCCTGTTTTTTTTCTTACTGAAGGCACTTCAAGCACTCATTAACTTCCGAGGCAAAGAATTTTTTTCCAAACATTTTATTTTAAATGGAACCTTTTGACTTAGAATCCAAATAAATCTAAGTCGAGCTTTACTTGAGATAACTAAACTAAAGTTCTTAAAGACAGTTTCTGAAATAGCTGTATTGGGTTGTGCCACGGAAGATGGATAGCGTTCAAAACTGATTCGCGGTTGTAAAACCTTTCATGATTTGTATAGTAAGCTTCAAGCTGAAAGTTTTGTTATACCTAAAAGTGCCACTTATCCCTGCCTTCTTTCTCAAACCTCTAATATAAATAAAGGCAAACATCATATTAGCATAGTGGCAGTACAGCTTGGTTGAGGTCAAGTTGATGCAAGAAAAGCTCATCGCAATGTAAAATTTTGTCCTTCGTCAATCAAGTAAACTTGACTTTTTTATCAGCTAACTATAGTGTAAAACATTCTATTTAAAAATTATGGTAAAATTATTGTCTTTTCATAGGTCCTTAGCGCAAGTGATTGCTACTCTCAGTTCTAGTTGAGTCGCTGTCATTTCATAAGGCGATAAAAACAGAGTCGTGGTTGGTGTTACCAGTGCTAGTAAACAATCACCTATTTTGATGTACTTGTAGTATAAAGTAACTTTGCTCGATCATAACTTAATGTGGGTACAATAATATCAAATAATAAAATAAGTGACGATAAAAGTATATCATACTCAGGGCCTACTTATATAATCGTACAATGTAGCAAGCGTTATTTAAGTACGTATGCGTCACATGCCTTAGATCTTGCAAGAATTTAAAAACTAGAATTGTGTAATGACATTTTATGTTGTAAGAGTAATCATGTAAATTCATATTGTTGTCCTAAATTTTATTTGAAGTTTCTTAAATCTTTTTTATTCTAGATTCTACTATAGATCAAGTTAAACTAATAGTAGTGATCACGTTGGATGGTGAACCTGGTGAAAACCCGTAGTATAGAAAAGTCGTCGACGATGCCAATAGTCACTTCAAAACTCACAACATAGATGGATTATTTTTGATTACAAATTCTCCGAGCTTCAGCAAACACAATAAAGTGGAAAGACGCATAGCACCTTTGAGTCACGAGTTAGCAGGTCTAATACTATCTTATGATTATTATGGCTCGCATCTCAATAAGTCAGCTGTAATTGTAAGGTAAAATACTAGAGTTAAAAAACTTAAAATATGTAAAACATGACGTGACGTGTGATTGTTAAATAATAAATGCACTAAGTGTATGAGCAAAGTTTGAAACAGCAATACATTTACGATGTCACATTAAAATATATTATAAAAAATATTCAGAAAATCATAAAATGTGTTCTGAATGTGGTAAAAAACTTTTAAGAAAAGATGCATTGATGAGACATTTTATGACATTTCACAAAAAAAGTTAAAAGAAAATTTACAGTTTAATATAAG